TACTTTACAATACGTGTAGTTACAGCACGTGGTATTCCATATTCAGCCTTACAAAATTGCTGCAATGTATTTCAGTGTTATTTGTCATAACAGGTTATATGACTTGGTCAGGTCATGGCCAGTAAGAGTCAGAGCAAAAATTAGAGCAGCTCTGGGTGCAGTTCTGGGCAGTTACTGTGAGCATTACCTCTGCATACATGTCCTTGAGTTACGCAAAAGATTTTATCAGTCCAGCACGGCTCCGCTTTTACCTGAGGATGCCTTTTACCTTAGGAGACCTCAGCGCACATGCTGTAATTTTTGTGTTGGTGCCAACAGAGTGGTAGGAGCACTCAATTACGGAGAACGGCAGCAGGAGCTTTCTGCTCTCTTCAAAAGCATAGGACAGCCATTGCCTTCAGCAGAGTGACTCTGACTCCTGCCGATACAGAGCTGAGATAATGGACTTCAATCAGCAGCACCCTTTACCCGTGCTACTCCAGTCGCTGCCTTACCTGCGGACAACTAATTCTTGCCATACACGCTCCTGTACTAGGTGAGACCCCCCCCAGCCCCATCTCCTGGGTCACAGCTTGGTGGAGGCTGCTTGGGAAAGGTGTACCGGGGTCCAGCCCATGCAGAGCCCTCCCAGCACCTGGTAAGCAGCAGGCTAGGAGCTTCCTGAGCACTTGGACCTTTGTTACAGCTTTTTGCAGCACTTCTCCATGAAGCTTCCTAACGCCTTTTCTCGAACCTGTTGGCTCCCACCGCACCCTGTGACAGTCCGTCCCACCGTTTGTGCTGTGTGAAAAAGCTGCCGCTTCTGTTTAAAATCTAATAGCAGATCCAATCTTGTCATATGGCAGGTAGTTGGAGATGTGCTGCGGTTTCTGGGCTTCTTACCCATCTGCCTGTCCTGTAGCATTGAACTGTGACCTCTGTAGGATCCCTCTCCACTGTCTCGGTGCCCGGGGAGCTGGTGTGGGATGGCTGCTGGGAGAGCTCGGGAGCCAGCCACAGACACGGTGCCGGCTGGCTGCGGTGGGGGCAAGGTGTGTTAACTGCAAGTAGGGTGTCCCTGTGAGCCAGCCAACAGCTACAGGGGGAAGCAGCATCCCCCCAGCATGGCCTCAGCACTGTGAAGGGCCCGTAGGCAGCACACACAGGTCAAGCCTGAAATGATGCCAAATAGCCTGGGCTGGGTGCCAGTTCAGTATGAAATAGAAATGTGTCTCCCCATTTTTATTCCACTGTATTCATCTGTAATCAGTTTAATCTGTTTACAGAGCCATTATAGCATTTCCAATTATCAGCTTGATAATTTGGAAAAGGGTCATAAGCACTGGACATTTGTCATGCAGGGAAAAACATGAAAACAGTAACAAAGTGCCACAAAAGTTGGCAAGGAATTATTTTCACCCTCCTTATATAAATTGGGAATGCTCCCCAAATCCTCTAGCTGATGTGCTCAGAAGTGCTCTTTTTTTCCATCTTCTACGAGTGGGCGTCAGTGCTGGGGGAAGGGCTTGTAGCAGGGCGTTAGCAGGGTGGGCCCAGCGTGCTGTGTCCTTGATAGCTGGACAGCTGATGTGCGGTGTGTGACCTCTGTGGCCAAAGATGCTCTTCCACGTCCTTATAGATCTGCTACCTCTGCACTGAGTCTCTTTCCAAGGACATACGCTCCATCTCACATCTTTCAAAATACATTAAAAAACATTCCTTGCATGTCTGTCTGCATGGTTAATTGCTGGGAGCGAGCAGCAGCTTAGATAGATGCTCTTTATCATCATTTATTTGTAGGTTCCTTGTCCCTCTCAAACTTCAGAGTGGTGTGACTGCATGACCGTGTGCAGTCACAGGGTGAGTGGCACTTTTGGCCTCACAGTGTTTATGTCTGGAGAGAACTTTATCTTTGCCTTGCACGCTCTGCTGTGGCCCTTGCACGTTAGCATGAACTGCCCTGCAAAATAACAGGAGGCTGCAAAAACTTCTGTTGTCTGGGATGGCCTAGTGTACGGCTTCCACATTCGCTGGTGTCCTCTCTTGCAGAAATGTGAATAATTGCTTTCCAAGAAACCACAGGAGGGGTTCTGTTCAGCTTTTTTGTCCTCGGGCGCTTTTGCTGCATTTTGCCGTATCTCAGCAGTGGGACCAATTCTGGGCTTGTCTCCTTTTCCTTGTTTTTTCCTTAAAAACAGATGATGTTTTGCAGATGTCTACATATTGAAAATTCATTTCCAAGTGGAACTGAACCAGCAGCCATCTGAAAAGACTGTCAAGTCCCAAATCTGAAGGGAAGGAAAAGCATCTCTCTTAGAGCGCCGGCACCATTACCTGGCTCGCTTGCCCTTTTCTTTATGAAGTTGCATGTGATCTCAGTAACTGCGGAGCAGTGGGGCGCAGCCATGTGCTAAGCCAGGCTGGCCCATTTACGGAGCCAACGCATGTGGGATGCTACTTGAAAGGCTTCTAGAAGCCAAATAGTCATAAGTGTATTCACAAGCCTTAATGCAAATCAAAAATCCTTGCGTAGTGCAGTTAGCTCTGTTCCAAAGAAAACTGGAGATGCCAGCTCGTCCTGTTAAACAAAAGCGATGCATCGACACAGCAGCAGAGACTCAAATTCGCTACACTTACCTGCTGCAAAATGCCTGGGTAACAATCATGGACCCAGACAATTTCATGATTTTTTTCTGCTTTAGGATAGAAAACCGAAATAGCCCACTGCTGCGTTTTCCTTGTACCTGGAGCCGGGGTTTCCTGCTGCTCTGTTTCTAGCTGGCTGCAATGGCTGTTGCATAGATGGATGTTACATTGCTCACATACCATGCCATAACTGAAAAATTTGGATTTCATGCTTTCTACTTGTCTTAAAAACAGAGGGTGCCATGTTACTGGCAGGCAACACCCTGTCTACACTTGCATTGTTCAAGCTAATACCATCTGCCCAGAATGGAGCCACACAGTTAAGTGCGTTTGTAGTGGCAGTAAGAACCCTTGAAGATGCATTTGGAAACAAACAGTTTCAGCAGTTAGCTGTAGTGACCCTGCATTTGGAAGGCAGCGCAGCCTCACCCCGCTCAAGGTCACATGAGGTTCCGTTGTGGGCTTCTTTTTTTAAGCTGTCTGCTATACATTTTCTAGAGCAAATGTGAAATGTTTGCAGTTTCTGCCCTTGTCTCACCTCATAGTGTAAAAGTGATTTCAGCGACGTACACAGTGTTCAGCATAACCAAGTATGTTCTTACGTCCTCTCTGTCAGGATGGAGAACAAAAAGCGGCCTCTTCTCAGTGCCCACAGCCTGAATTTCCAGCACAGAGAGGACGACGCAGAAGCTGCCCTAGCGTGAAGGCTCGGCATTTCAAATTGGTCGGCGCAGAGAACCGAACGCATGGGGAAGCCAGCTGCGACAAGGAGCTTGAGAATGTAATTACAGGGAAGGTATGGAATATTGTGAAGTTGAGTATACAAAAGCAACTGGGAACTTGCTCACAAGAAAGCGGGGAAAAATTTGTAGGGAAGGATGGCAGGGGAGGCACGGAGACAGAAGGAACGAAAAAAAGAACTTGCCAAAACCTATGCCTCAGAGAGGTGGAAGAGCATGGCTATATCAAGGCTTACCAAGCTGTATCGGGTGATAAAGGAAAGCATAACAAACAAGAGAGTTCCAGAATATGTAAGTGAAGATGGAAGTTGGAAGGAAAAGCAGCAGCAGGCAGTGAAGGCAGGGCGGAGGTTAAAGGTAGCCTAGATACGGTCACAAATGGAAAGAGAACTGCTTTGTCCCGTTTCCATGGTGGCCAGATCAGAGATCCAGAACTGGAAATGAATGCTTCCTAAATAACATCAAAACCCAAAGACGGGTTGTGCTCAGATGTGTTTCATCCCAGCAAACAAGCCAACTTAAAGACCAGCCTGGCCAGCTCTTCAATGCCTGACTCACCAGTTCTTCAGTGACTGAATTTCAAGATGAAGGAATCATACAGAAAATGGAAATTTGGGTCATTTGCTAAGGAAGAAGATGGAAAAGGGAAATGAGTGAGAAGAGACAACATCAGACAGGCCAAGACACAAAATGAGCTATAACTAGGAAGGATTATAAAGCATATGAAGGGATCGTCTTTTAAGGACAGGAGGAATGACAAGGCTAAGGAAAGATACAGTCCGTTACTGAAAGAAGGGGAAGGGAAGGGAGCGATCAACAGATGTACCTGAAAATACGTGAGCTGCAGAGGAATGGCAGAGCATAAAGAATTCACATAAATAGATAAATACATTGAGCAGCTGTCTCCCCTACCATGTGCTCTCATTTTTCCTTGCTGCCAGAGAGCACTGATGTTTCTTATTTATTTACTTCTAATTACTGAGATACAGCCTTCCACTGATGAGATAAATGTAGCTCAGGATGCTGATCTTCCCCTTCTCTTCCCTCAGGGTGTCTCCCCAGCATCTAAATCAAAGCCTTGTGAAAATGTCATCTCTCCACACCCCACACCATGTCTCCAAACACCGTGGGCTCTCGGCCCCCTCCCCAAGCCCAGAACACAGCGCCAGGAGCAGAGGCAAGGGCCAAGCTGCCTGACTGCCAGGCATTTGTCCTGCTCCACAGGGCAATGGCACATCCGGCAAAATCTTAGCGGCTAGGTCGATGGAAGAGAAAGAGTGGAGAATGAGGTGAGTGGGAGTATGTGCTGAGACATCTGATGGAGGTTGTTGGCAGGGATCACAAGGGCAGAACAGTTACAGCTGGTATTTATGAGGTTGCTGTTTCAATTCAGGATGATGAGATATTACCTTTTTTCCTGGCCACTAATGCAATTGTTCACCTTTACCTACAAAAGAAATGCAACCCTGCACTTTCCTGAATTGTGCTTACTTCTGCAAAGCAAAATCCCTTATTATTTGTGCTAAAAAAAATTGTGCTGGTCTCTAAATGGCACGTGCAAAACGTGGATTGTGCAGATTTGACGCATATTGAGTTCTTCTGTCCACCTAGAAATAACCTGTGGTCCTGTGCCTGATGACTGGGCAGTCTGTGAACCGGCACCTCCAGCTAGCAGGGTGCAGCAGTGACAGCACTGGCTCTTCGCTGGTGGGCAACTCCACCTCCAGCTGGACACGGTGATGTGGTGGACAACCATGCTGTGCTCCATGCTGATCACCACGGAGATTGGGCTCCTCGTGGCGTCTGCTTCGCTCTGCTCTGTATCATCTTCCGCACGCAGAGACCCAGGGCCACACTCCTGGGCAAGGTCAGCAACACAGAAATCTATGAGGACCAGTCCACTTACAAGCAGCTCAGCAGTATTGCCAACATCAAAATCTTCTGCTTCGAGTCATCCCTCTACTATGCCAACAAGGACTATTTCAAGACTGTTCTCTACCAGAAAACTGAGGTAAATCCTATCCTGCTGGATGCTAAGCATCAAAGGGTGGAGAACCAGGCAAATGCAGACACAGGCAACAGCAAGAGCTTTTTTGGCACCAGGTTTGACTGCCTGAAACAGTCCAAGAAAAGGGCTGAGAAGCCTCCAGCAGATGCCTGTCCTCCCTCCATGGATATGCACACCTTAATCCTTGACTGTGGGGCAATGCAGTTTATAGATACCGTGGGTCTCTCTGTGCTAAAGGAGACACATCATGGCTATCAGGAGACTGGCATCCAGGTGCTCCTGGCCAACTGCAACCCTTCCATCGGCCACCGGCTCCGGGAGGGAGGCTGGGCTGGTGAGACAGACGGTGGCGGTCAGCTGGCTTTCCACAGTGTCCACGACGCAGTGCAGTTTGCTGAACGGTGGTACCGCCTGCAGCAGGAGGAGAGCAAGGGGGAAAAGGATGCGCTCCTGGACCCCAAAGACTTCCAGGCGTCTTTGTAGACCTGTGCGTGAGGAACGATTTCTGATGGGGGTAGCATTGGTATGTCCCTGAGAGCAGTTTTGGTCTTTGTGAGTCAGAGCATGCAAAAAAGACTTTGGTGAACTGTCGGCAGCAGGCATGGGGCAAAAGGGTTGGGGAAGGGGTGGATTTCAGGAGAGACTGCCAACAGGTGAATAACCTGAGAGGCGTTTCGGGGCCTGTCATCTCGGTAAAGAGCCCGGACGGCTCTTAACCCTTCTCCTTTTCAGAAGGGGCGGTGACGGCACGAGGCGCCGAGCAGGGCGGTGGGACGCCGGGCCTC